GCCCCGCCCCAACCTGGGCACTCAAGCTTGAGTGACATTGACTCCTTCCTGCTCACCTGGTGACAGCTGAGGGTAGCTAGCTGTAGGAGGGTCAAGAGGGTCCCTGTAGGATGGTGTGGTCCCAGTTCCTGATTAAGGCGGGGGCCTCCCAGCCCTTCCCTCTGCTGTCAGACTCTGCGCCGGCCACAGAAATCAAAGTTCAGAGCAAGTAAGCACCCCACTCCAAACACAGGAAAAGGGCCAGAGAGAGCGGGGAGCCTCGGAGGGAGCTGGTCAGGACAAACTGATGTTCTCACCCACCCTGCAGATCCAGCTCCAAAGGTGCCACTGACACGTCAGTTGCAGGACAAAGATTATTTGGAGGTTGGCAGATGGGGCTGGATTCAGAGAACGCACGTGCTTCAACCTCTCAGCTGCCTGTGTGTGATTTCACTGCCATGGGAGAGCATTGAGCGGGGCTTTTTCTGACCAGTTGGTGTGAGAGTTGTGTTGTTGGGGTTGTCATCCTCACCTCATCCTCACCCCCAAGCCCAGGTCTTGTCGTGTGGGAGTGGGAGAGCAAGTCTGTGGGGTGACTGCATCACCGTGGCTGGATTCACTCCGTAAGGGAGCCGGTGCAAGGCAACCTGGGAGCCCAGCGGGTGGGCAGGTGGCCTCCCTGCTGCCCGGAGACAACCTGCCCACCAGGGCACATGCAGGCTCCACACAGCCAGCCTGGGACAGTGGGGGAGAGACGGAAACACGCTCCCTTGCAAGAGGCAGTCGCGATTTAAAATGCCGTCTTGCTCTTCTGACTGCTTTTTCCAGACGGTAAGAATTTGTTAAACACACCTGGTGTTCTGGGAAGGGTGCATTCCTGCGGGGTCTTGCCTGGGAGGGATAGACTCCCATCCTCTGAACTCTACTTCTCCATCCCTTGGCCTGGAGCTGCTCAGTGTTCATGGATTTGAATGAGCAAATGAAGCTTGCTTGTAACTTTGTAGGGTTAGGGGCTAAAGAATCTTGTAACTATGTTTTTATTATGCTCTTCTTTTGTATTAATTCATCACCACTCCAGCCTGAGCCTCCGTGTCTGTGAGGGGTGAGGTGCTGCGGGAAAGGCTGTCAGTGCCGTTGCTGGACCCTGTGCCCTGGGAGAGCATGTGGACTCGTCAAAAGTTATGATGGGAAGAGGGAGGTTTACAGGATTTGTTGCTTTGCTTGTTTTTTCAATTGGTTCAACTGTAAAATGTCCAACCCCGAGACCACCAGCAGTATTTTAAATGAATCCTGTGAATCCTGTCACTTCTTAAGGCAGGTTTGGTGGTTTAGCCATGTGCTGTATGTTCCCGTGAGTTGTCCTGGGCATTTTAAGAGTATCATGTTGTAATCCTACCTGCTCTGCCCCCAGGAGGTGGGAAAGGGGAGGCGAGAAGGGAGAGTCACATCCCTGCAGCCGATGGGGACCTGTTGGCTGCTTGGAAAAACAGTTGCCCATGTGTTGGAGTGCTACCATTTTTACTTTACCTGTTTTCTTTTGTTTCAGTTTTTATTTCTTGAAAACCTGAAGTTGTTATCTCTAAGTATCCCCTTTGTGTGTTGCAGGATGTTAAAGTCTTTAGTGAAGATGGGACGAGCAAAGTGGTGGAGATTCTAGCAGACATGACAGCCAGAGACCTGTGCCAATTGCTGGTTTACAAAAGTCACTGTGTGGATGACAACAGCTGGACACTAGTGGAGCACCACCCGCACCTAGGATTAGGTAGGGAACCATCGGAACAGGAATGGCGCCTGGGGATACTCAACGTGCAATTCAATGAAGACCGCTGCTGCCAAATGCCAAATATGTGAACACAGTGTCCTTTGCCAAATTAGCAGGCAGTCTCTGGGTTCCCCTCGACTCTCCTGCCTCTTCTGTTTCTCCTAAAACTTCACTCTCCGCCCTCCAGCCCCCTTCCCCTAGTGCTTTGGGAATCTTGCCTTGAATGGTTGAGGTAATAACTTGCCCAAGGGCTCAGACACGGAGAAATTCCCTGTGGCTTGTCCGGCCTCCCCAGCTGTCAGAGCCACTTGAAGCTTGTTGCACACCTGTGGGCAGGGGACAGGAGGGAGGTGCCCTTGAGGTGATCTGGAGAGAGCCGGCCGTGCACAGGATTGCAGCTGCCCCTCTGAGATCAGCTCTTCAGCTCATGGGAAGAAGGGAGCCATGGTTATAGGCAGCAAAGTGCAGAGAGGTCTGCTGGGTATTGGAGCAAATTATGAAGCACTTTGTTGTAAGTTCCAGTTGAGTCTTACATGGCATCTCTGCATGCTGGTTAACAAGGCTGTGAATGGTGTACGTGCACGGGTGTATGTGTGTGCGCATGTCGTGCCTAAAAAGCAAGAGAATATTTTGTATCACAGAATATTTGAAGATACTGACTCTTTAACAGAACTTATTGAGGTATTTTGTTCAGGTAGCTTATTTTAGGTAAAAAAGCTTTTCAGACTTTTGCTTAAATTCTTATCTGATAAAATATAGTTCTTACAAAACATAGTAAAATATTTAAAACCAAAATTTTATCTAAATCAACAGCTGTATTTGTTCCATGTCTCGAAGGAGATAAAAACAACACAGATTGGAAACGTCCCATAGTTCTGATTTTTCTTATGAACCTTTTTTGAAAGATTAATAAATTGAATTTAAACCTCTAGGTCTGGAGTATTGAATTTAAACCTCTAGGTCTGGAGTAGCATCCTTCCACGTAATATTATACAATTTAAGCCTAAATAATGCAGTGTAAATTTGAGCTGATACCACCTTAAGTCTCTGTTTTCTAATGCGCCCTGTACTTTGGGCAGACGGTATGCTTTTTGAAGGAATTGAACAGAACACTTGCTGGTTTCTTTCCCATCTCTACCAATTGCCAAACGCATTTGTGTGATGACAGAAGCCTTCTCCTTCATTGTCACTAACAGCTTTCTCCTGCCAGGATCACTTACTAGGTCCACAGTTAGTGACCATGGTGTCACAGTTGTTCCCACGGAGACTGGCTGTCCCATCAGACTCCAGCTTAGGACGTGCATGAGTGGATCCTACAGTGGTCTGATAAGGCTGTCAAAAGCACCTGTTGACACACAAGTAACTTGGAAATTAAATAGTAGTGGGAAACCTTCAGCATGTGTCTCTACATGTGTATATATATATATGTGGGAAAAAAAGCATATATATATATACAACTTTAAAAACAAGTCTGTATAGTTTGACCCAAATACAGTGATTATTGTTGAAAGCCCATTCAAAAGTCTGAATATTCTTTTCATTTGAAAGAACTATGGAAGGGACTTCTGCAGATATTTAGTACTTGAATATAATTGGACACACTCAGGACACATAGAAATTTTGTACAGATATACATACATAAAATTTAACATATAAGGAATGGTTCAGAAATTTTGAATTATCTATTTCATGTGATACCCTTTGATTTCTAGACTATCATGTGGTAGATAAATAAATGATACATTAAAACTTTCACCAAATGAAGAACCATTTACTCTGAGAGAATAGAAAAACAAATGTCTGTAAGCACACAGGATTTGTAGGGATGTGATATTTATACACCTTATTTCTTTCTCTTCTTTTTAGATGGACTTAATACACTCTCGTGGGGGATGACACTTTATTTTAAAATTAAGTATAAAAGGAAAAAATGGGAAAGAGAAACAAGTGAAATTATAAAAAAAAAAAAAAAAAAGAGGAACATTGGTGTCACATTTTGGGTCCTGTTTCACAAAAAAAGTAAAAAATGAAAAAATTAATGAACCTCACACAGCCAGGATTTGCAGATACATGAAATTCCTTAGAATATCCTTCCTCTCCTTCCTCAGTTTTCTTTCTCACCACCAGTTCCATTCTTACTAGTTACTAGGAAACACATTTTTCTATCGGCTGGGTTTGCAGAGGACTTTGCAAGTTTTTAGAGTAACCAGTTTCCCCAGCCTGTAAGATCAGCAACCCCAGGACTCATTCCCGTTGGCACAGAGCTTCTGCGTCCCCCCATCCCTATAACTTCTCTGAATACTGTTTTGTGACCCAACCTTGTCACTTAATGTTTTTTAAAACATTAAGTTGCTGTTTAACTAAACATCTTATTTCTGCCATGATTTAGCAGCATTCAACGATCAGAAGCTCATTAGTGAGAAAATGCAGGGCTGTGGGGTGCCTCTCGGAGAGTCTGTTGGGTATCTCAGCTTTATCCCCCTTGGAAAGGGACGCTAGGGCCACAAGGCCAATAGGGGGTTCATGTTTGTCATGGATGGTATTCCTGGGCCCTTCTGGCCCTCCAGCTCTTAGGGCACATCCCCAGACATTGCTATCTCCTTGTAGAGAGCACTTTCCTAGAATTATATGTCAGGTACTCTCACAGAAATGTGGACATACACCAGGCTGGTGGCTGGGGCAAAAGGCAGGTAGTACTTGCAAGTCTATAGGGCAGATACTAAGGCAGATTGTAACCCAAACCCCCCATAATTGAAGGTATAGGGCACCCAATTTGGACAGTATTTGAAGCCTATGTATAGCCTCCAGAATTGAGGATTTCAAAGTACAAAGTACATTATTATTGATTGAATATCCCTAATCCAAAAATCTGAAATCTGAAGTGCTCTAAAATCTGAAACATTTTGAGTACTGATTTGATACTCAATGGAAATGCTCACTGAAGCATTTCTGATTTTTTGATTTTGGATTGTTCAACTGGTAAATATAATGCAAATGTTCCAAAATTTAAAAATCCAAAAACGAAAGCTTCTGGTCTCAGGCATTTAGGATAAGGGATATTCAACCTGTATAAGGATCTTAACAGCTAAAATATCGGTCCCTTAATAATATTAAACCTTTTCTACACCCAGAAGGAAGTGATGGCTTTAGAAAAAGTGAGGGCAGTTCCCGAGATAGCCTGCAGCACGTGGTTCCCTTTCTTTGGGAGAAAAGCACCATGCGTGGGTGTCTGCAGCCTGCAGGGCATCACTGCTCTGAGATACTGGTCACCCTCCATTGGCAGCAACAGTGGCATCCCTGCTGTCACTCGGTAGAGTAGCCCCTCTGGCTGAGGGTGGTTTGTCCTGCCCGCTCTGCACTGTGCTTGTGGGTAAGCAGAGAAGGACTCCTATGAGCAGAGCAAGGTCAGGTGGCCCTTCCCAGTGTGAGCTCCTGGGAACATTCACTACTGGACGCACTTGGAAAAGTTGTTGTGAAGCCCCTTGCCCTGGTAGGCAAAGCCTTAGTGACTGATGGTCTATTTTATGATTCCCAGTTCAATTGTCCCTTTAAATGGTCCCTTCCTATGTTAGCACTGCCCCTAGGTTCTACCTGTTGGGGATGTTTCTGAGTCTCAGTGTCTGGAGTGGAGTTCTTAGCCTTGAAAACACTGTGCCTGACCCAAGCCACTCAAGAGCTGACAGTAAGTCCAGCTGGGGCTGCCAGAATGGGACAGGTCTTTTGGAAGGTGTCCCCATCCCTTCTGCCCTGAGCATGTGAGCTGCAAGTCTCTGGAAGGTTCACTTTAGCCAGAGCAGCTTCACACATGGAGGATGCAGTGATATTAAACAGTCAGCCTGCAGACATATCAAGTAAACAAATTATATTTTAAAAGGTATTTTTGGCCAGGCGCTGTGGCTTATGCCTGTAGTCCCAGCACTTTGGAAGGCCAAGGTAGGAGGATCACTTGAGCCCAGGAAGTTGAGGCTGCAGAGAGCTGTGTTTGCATCACTGCATTCCAGCTGGTTGACAGAACAAGACCCTGCCTCAAAAATAAAAGATAAAAGGAATGTTGAAAAATACAAATTTAAACATACAAAACTAGTATCTTGATGCCCCCTGAACTTGAAAATGGGATTGCAGATAAACCCATCCCTGGGAATGTGGGGGGCACCCCGTGCCTGGGGCTCTTGCACCCAGGCCCCGAGTAACTGTAGACATCAGGCATACTAAGGCCAGATAATCTGGGAGAGGCTGGAACTTACACAGAGAACACAGTAAAGAGAAGAGGGTTTCCGCCAGATCCTACAAATTTCAAGGATTTGAGGAATTCTGTTGTCCTGAGAATTAGGTTGAGACAGGAAGAGCAACAAGTCCTTTTCGGGCTGTTTACAGCTTTGTGCTTGTTCCTGGTCAGATGAGAAATGCTGTGGCAGTAACTCTGGAGGTGCTGTGGCTGCCACACTTTTGGATGCTGACAGCTGGACATGCAGAAAGGTGTGGAGGGAGAAGCAGCCGGCGCCCGTTGACCCTTGCTGAGTAGAGGGGGCCTTTTGCAGGCTGGTTTTATGTCCCCCTCTCCCTTTTACGTGTGAAAAGCAACAAAAGATGTCCTTTCCCCCACTAAAATTTATAAATAGAAGTCCACTTACAGCCTTATCCACATGTCAGGGCTATCTCACTGATTACTGTTGACGGTTTCTTAGCCCGGGAAAGCCCTGAGCTTGCTGACAGCTCTTTTCTTTCCCTTGGGTGGGCTGTGCTGAGGAATGATGGGCAGGGAGTGGCTCAAGTGCCACAGCTCAGTGTGAGGCCGAGACAGTGGGGTGCACATCCTCTGTGCACCGGCTCTGCCATGGCCCCTCCCACTGCCAAGTGGCAGCACAGGTTTCTGCCGAGGAGTCACACTTTAGCTGCAAGGGTTAAGGCAAGGAAGTAAGATTCTCTTTTTTGAGTTGTCTTGATATTTAAATATTCTTTCTTGAGGAGTAGAGTAATGCCAGCCTTAGTTTCAGAAATTTGAAAAATACAAATGTACTTCAAAGAATTTTTGCCTTTTCCATTTCTTGAAATTACTTTTGGAATATTATCACGAAAAGTAGTGTTCCCATTTAACTTAGGGCCATTGTAATCATACGCAGTTTATAGATAGTGATGTGATTGTTTATAATCATGCAAGGTCATTTGGAAATACATGTCTTTAAATCACCGAGAAAATTAAAACTGGAGGGAAGATCTTTGAACAGATGTTGCGCAGTCAACGGCCAACTGGAACACTGGTGCCGGAGCATTTGTGCCGGGGCACTCAGCTGCATCTGGAGGCTGCACAGCTCTGCGTCTCTGAGAAAGGGGTCACCTGCCACATTGTGTTTGCTGACCTGCTGTGAATGAGGAAAAGGGAGTTGATGTTTTGTTTCTCTTGGGACCCACCTCTGGGGATGGTAGGCGCCCTCTGAAGTCACCAAAGCACACTCCTTTCAGGATACAGTCGGTTTCACAGCCCACCGGTTATCCCGAGTTCCTGGGCCCCCTTTTGCCAGGGCACCAAGCCCTCACCTGTCCACCTGGATCTGACGGCCAGGGACACGTCCCCCTGTGTGTTTACACTGCCATGTGCAACTTTCCCACGATCTTTCCAGGGGCAGCCCAGGGAGACAGGGAAGTATTGTCCACAAGGATGGGCGCCTGCATGCGTTTGGCCACCCCCTTTAGGCCTGGTGGCTGCCCCCAAGCATCCTCTTTGGCTGTCCTCAGGGTTCTTTGGAGACAAAATGCCCTTTGCTTTGGAAACAGACATATTCTCCTCACTTAGGTAGCTGTCACCTCCCATTTTTATTTCTCCTTATTTTGCCTGATAAAAATTTTTAGTTCTGTAAATCAACCATCAACAGTTTATTAGATTGTTGGTTTTGGTTTTGGATTTTTGTTTTTGTTTTTTCCTGTAACTACAGAACGACATTTTTCTCTGAATAAACATTTCAACAGAAGTCACTGATTTGTTTTCCTTCTGGAAAATCCATTTTCGATGAATGAACCTCTTTTTGGAAAGCAAACCTAACAGTTTTTGTTGCATGTTCTTGGTTTCTCTCTTTTTCTATCATGGGGAGACATGAGGGCCATGTATTGGTTCACATGTTGCTAGCAGCATTCCCTCCCAGACAGGGACAAATGGGAACTGCTCCACACTTGCTGGTGGTGCCAAGTCTGAGCTTTCTGGCAGCCACGGGGAGAAAATTCTTTTCCTTCACAAACTCTGGCTTTAAATGTGTTTTTACCAAGGAATCCTTTCCTTGTAATGTCGAAACCAGGGCCGAGCACGAATCAGCTCCAGAATTTGCTTCTGCATGCCAGTCGGGGCCCATCTGAGATGCGTGCCCATGGCGACAGTTGTTCTTTGTAGACGGAAAGTCTTTTCTGCATTCTTAGATCACTTTGACTCAGAAATGCTTTTGCCTTTAACTTCATTTCTTCCTTTTCCTTCCAAGATGAAACTTTCCTCAAGATTCCAGTCTGGCTGCAGGAGAGGAGGGTAGGGTCTTAGGACGACAGAACTGCCCTGGTGTCAATTCCATAGCATGTTAATCTTTACCGTTTTGGCATCAGTTCACACTTTGACCCTGCTGTACATTTGTTCTTGTTTATTCCGTGATTTAATAAGGTTAGTTTCCCGTGGCCACCACCGTCCTGTGACAGTTTCTGAGGAGGTGCCTGGGAAGGGACGTAGCTGTCATGAAAGGGAGCAGTGCGGCCTCTGCAGGCACACGCTGTTCCAGGGTATGCTGAGTTCTTCCCGCTCCACCTGGACCCACTGTGTTCACACAGTGAGGGAAGCGACTTTTCCCTTTCCGGGGGACGGTGCTGCTATGGAAGATGCTGTGAAGGAGGCGTGTGCATATGTGCATGCGTGCGTGTGTACGTGTCCGCAGCGGGTGCTGGAGGATGGAGTATGTTTTTTTCCCTGCCTTTACATGTAATTCAGTTGACAAGAACTATTCCATGATGTGGTGCGTGCAGGCTTCAGCGTGAAAGATGAGTATGTACGTACAGTCTCGCCGTGCATCACGGCCCCTCCCACAGTACACAGCACCATCGTTTCTGGCAACCAAGTTTGATGTCATTAGAAAGCTTCCATCTCGGTCGGGCATGGTGGCTCATGCCTGTAATCCCAGCACTTTGGGAGGCCAAGGCGGGCAGATCACGAGGTCAGGAGATTGAGACTGTCGTGCCTAGCATGGTGAAACCCCGTCTCTACTGAAAATACAGAAAAATTGGCCAGGCGTGGTGGCAGGCGCCTGTAGTCCCAACTACTCAGGAGGCTGAGGCAGGAGAATGGCGTGAACCCGGGAGGCAGAGCTCGCAGTGAGCTGAGATCGCACCACTGCACTCCAGCCTGGGCGACAGAGCGAGACTCTGTCTCAAAAAAAAAAAAAAAAAAAAAGCTTCCATCTCTGGGCCCTCTTTGGTCATCCTCCCCTTTCAAGTTCTTTCTCCTTTGTTTCTTGTTATAGTCTTTTATTTACAAGAATTGAAATTTATTAATTTAAGGGCAAAATCATTTGCTGAGAGTATTATGGACTCATTCCTTAACATCTGGTTGATGCCAAATTCAAAAGAAGTATATAAAAATAAGTATTGACCTGAATTCCTCATGCTGTGTATCTTAAGACCTCTTATGAATTTGGTAGTACATAAAAGAGAGATTTAAATTTAGTTTCCTTCCTGACCTCGTCTCTATTCATAACATTTAAAGAATAGAAAGTTGAACACATCTTGCATTTGGTTGTAAAGCTACCATGAATTTCCCACCTGTTGCATCTCACATGTGATACTTTGCCCCTGCAGAGAGGTGCTTGGAAGACCATGAGCTGGTGGTCCAAGTGGAGAGTACCATGGCCAGTGAGAGTAAATTTCTATTCAGGAAGAATTATGCAAAATACGAGTTCTTTAAAAATCCCATGGTGAGTCTTACGTCTTCAGGTTTGGGGTTTGGGACTCTTGACATCTGGAAGTTTATACTTGGGTTTCATAGTATCAGATTAGAAAGTGACTGAGAGGCACGACATAGCATATGGGTTTGAGAGTCAGAGTTGCAGTTTAATGAAGCAATCCTTGCTTGAAACCCAGTCTCGTGCTTCACTAAATGTGCCTGGGACTGGCTGAAGATAGAGGTCTCCTTCTTCAAATAGACACAGTGTAAAGGGGGTTAGTCTCTAAGACAGGAGCTGGGGGAGACTGGGCGTTTTCTGTTATTTTGAAAGTTCTCAGTTAAACTGATCAAACACTTAGCAGAAGAAAAACTCATTATTCTCTGCACATAGCAAACACATTTTGTGATCATACGTGAAAGAATGACTAGAGAAATCAGTGCGATTGGTGGTGTCTTGAGCTGGTCACCTTGATCTCTCTTCCTTTTTCTTTTTTTGGGAAAGAAGACATTTGTCCTGTGAGAGGCCGGGATAGGGAGGGCACCTCCTAGCTCCTGGGTTACTTACTGTCGTCCTGAGTCATGAGGCAGAGCTGTGTCAGCTGGGGAGAAGACCCAGGGTCATTTCTGACTCTGATAATTTAGCTGCTTTTTTATTCCAGAGTGAGAAATTTGAAGACTGTTTTTGGGAATGCAACAGAAAAGGCTTTTCTCGTGACTGGGCTTACCTTTTAGTTTCAGGAATTCTTTATCTCGCTCTTTGCCATGGAGTATGCTGTGAGACATGCATCCCTTAGTAAACATAGGTGGTATTCCATACTCGTACCCAACATTTCAGGAAATGAAATACAACCTTTTGAAGGAGCTGTTTCTTCTGTGTGATAGGAGAATAAAAAGGACTGCCATTTTAAATACAGGTGTACATAATTATATTGGTAGGAATAGTTTTAAAATTGACATATCTATATGACATACCTTCCCTCACTTTGAAACTAACCTTTCACGTATTTGTTTTTTCCCATTTTCTTAGAATTTCTTCCCAGAACAGATGGTTACTTGGTGCCAGCAGTCAAATGGCAGTCAAAGCCAGCTTTTGCAGGTACTGGGCCAAAATAGACCTCTGCTGAAATAGAGTTTCTGAATAGAAATCCTCTTGGAACTGAATGGCAACATTGTAAAAAACCTGAAGAGATTGCATCTTTCATCATTTATAACTTTGGCTCTTAAGGGGGTTTAGAGTAACCAGAAATTAAAAAGTTTACTTGGAAAATCTGCGTGTAGCTGGATTCCTTCTAAGCCAAACAGGCACTTACACACAGAATGCCCTTGCTCTGACTTAGAAGAGTCCAGTGATGCCACTGCTGAGTGTGGGCCGGGGGGTGCATGGAGAAACCCCAGTTTCAGGGCTCCCCAGCTCCTTTCTGAGCAGGGGTCCCAGGTCAGGCCACCGCCCAGCTGCTTGGAAATCTCTGCAGAAGCACTGAGTCTGTAGTAAAAGATGATCGGGTTACCACAACAGACTTTTACAAGTAACTTGCCATACATTACAAATAAAGAAACCTGCTTTAATTGTCCTAAAGTCTGTTCTGAGAAAATCTGGTCTCTCCCCACCTCCTCTTCCAGTGGAGGGAGCCACCAGGGCCTCTGTGCCCAGCTGTCACACACGCTCCTCCAGGGAAGCTGGGAGCGGGGAATGGGAATGTTACAGCTACACCCTTAAAAATATGCCTGTGTACACGTCAAAAGTGAAAGAATGAATCATTTCCTAAGGCCACCAACAATATCCAAGTGATATATTACATGTAACAGAAACTACTAAAATATAGTTCCTACAGAATTCTGCTCATAAGCCCTTCTTTTGCTATGTTGTTATCACCAAATTTGTTTCAGCATCTAAAAGATAAGAGCTTCAGAGCTCTGTTCCGGTGGTGTCTTCAGAAGCCCTTCTGACCATAGCATGTGTCTGTTCTGGTGAGAGGTGTCAGTGCTAAGGTACCACCTGTACCACCGTGAACAGTGAAATGGCACATTCTGTTTTAACTTGCCTTGACTTTGGGAGGACTCATGTGCTTTGTGAAGATATGCTGTGGTCTCTTGAGACTCAGGAAGGACTGACCCAGGTGCACTAGGGCTCTGTCCGATGTGCCTTTCCCACCTGGGGGAAAAGAGCTTTGTCGCCTCCCAGTCTAGTAGCAGGACCTGCGAACATCACCTCCCCAACTTCGCTCCGTGACCTGGCCCTCGGCCTGTCTTCCCTTTGATGAAAAGCATAGTTTCTTGTTTTGTTTTGTTTTGTTTTGATAAAGGCTTTATTCTTAAGGCTGCCTGTGGGAAAAGTTAAGTGGAACAGGGGGACATCACCAGGATGTCCTGCACCTGGGTTCATCACTTGCAGACAAATGACACCTTTTATGTGACCCTTGACTGGAGGGGTGCCTGGGTAAAAGTGGCCACTGCATGCTCACTCTCAGTCCCCACAGCCCCACTCACTCAGTCGTGGCACTTGCTCTTGCCCTCAGTCTGATACCAGACTGGATCCTTCAGTGCACTCTCTTACAGGGAAATTCGTGACTTGTGTTATCACCAGTGTTAGAAAGGTCCATTTGCTTGCATGTGTTTAAATACGAATTATGTTCTATGCAGCACCAATTGAGATGGGATTTTAAGACTTTGGAAAGGAGAACACTCTCAGTTTGATCAAAAAAAGGAGTCTTTTAATAATTCAGAAAATGTCAGTTATGCTGATAACATGTCTGCTTTAATTATTTTAGATTAGCATTATGTAATTTTTAAAATTTGTTCTTCAACAGAATTTTCTGAACTCCAGTAGCTGTCCTGAAATTCAAGGGTTTTTGCATGTGAAAGAGCTGGGAAAGAAATCATGGAAAAAGCTGTATGTGTGTTTGCGGAGATCTGGCCTTTATTGCTCCACCAAGGGAACTTCAAAGGTGAGCTTTAAAACCTGCCACCACCAGCCCTGATTCTGCCCCCGTCACTGCCCCCGGGAGTCCTCAGAGTAAACCTAGGCTTCATTTTTAAATGCACCTTAGACTCCTCCAAGCTCAGGACAACTTCTTAATAAGCTAATTGTGCAACAGCTAAACTTGGAGTCACAGGTTTCCTGGTCTCCCTCAGAAACTAGGTAATAAATAATACATACCTAAGAACCCCACCTGCCTAGCCCCACCCCCACTGTGGGTTGGTAGCAGACCCCCCGGCTGCCCCATCACTTCAGAGACTGGCCTAGTTCCCATAAGTTGGGATTTAAGCTAGCTGTCAAGATGTTTGATAGATGATTGCCACCCTAATGCCAGTGTAACTTTATGTATCAGATATTTTATGAAATAAATTGCAGGTTTGCATGTATCCGCAGTGAGAAGAAGGTGGGAGATGGAAAACAGCTGCAGGCCCTCAAAAGACAACTGGTAGCATTGAGGGCTTAGGCCGGAGGCTCCTTCGCTCCCGTGTACACTCTTGCCTGCTCTCTTCTCATGCTGTCCACATACACCCTGTGGCAGGAGCCATGTCCATTCAACGTGGCTGAGCACTTACCATCTGAGGGCTACGGTCTCTTTTACTCTGGCCAGCAAAGGGGAAAGGGAGCTGGCGGGACCCTGGCACAGGTGTTGAGCATCAGGCCAACTCTGGGAAGTCAGCGGCTGCCGACGCATGGGCCAGAGAGAAGGGGGGTCATCTGCAGAGAGGGGCTTTGGTCTGACACAGGGCATGGTAGTGTCCTGACCTCCCAGCTGTGCTGTGTGGCCCACTCAGCGTCCTCGTGTGTGCTGAAGTCGGGAGATTATTTCCTAGAGCAGGAAACAGAGCTGGGCTGGAGAGTTGAGGAGGAGAAGGGTGGGACAAGCTACCACTGGGAAAACCCAGGGTACGATTGGACTCTGGATGCACAGCAAACCAAAGGCAGATAGGCCCTGTGCTCTTAACTCTGACCTTTGGGTTATAGATTTTCTTCTGCTTTTTATCTTGAATATCTGGTCATGGGGCTTTGATTTGGCAGAAGTATCAAATACATTCCGACAGTCTTGTGTGTCTGAGAATTGGGGAAGTGGGTGTTTTGGGTGAGACTGGGTGAATTTGGTTTTAGTTTAGCACTTATTACACCTCATGTAATAATCATATGTAACATGTAAAGTGTCATCGGGGAAAGTGCATATAAGTGTGCAGAGACTGCCCTCTGTCTACCGGAGGTGAACACATTTGCCCTTTGCTGGGCTTGAGACTTTAACCTGGCCATTGTTGTCACAGGAACCCAGACACCTGCAGCTGCTGGCCGACCTGGAGGACAGCAACATCTTCTCCCTGATCGCTGGCAGGAAGCAGTACAGCGCCCCTACAGACCACGGGCTCTGCATAAAGGTACCCCCGAGCTGTCCACAGACGGCGCGCATGCTCAGCAGCCCACCGGAAACTGACTTCTTCTCTTACCCAGCACTTGATTGTTGCTTCTGTTGTCTTCAACGGAAATACAGTTTCACACTGGATTTCTCCATTCCTGTAAAAACATCTATTGTACACGTGCTGCTGTCAGCCCTTGAGTAGCTCAGAAGCTCAAGGACAAGCAAACAGGGATAGACAGTGTGGCCAGTGGGCTCAGTGTTTTAGGGAGGGTGGCTTTTGGCTTCAAAGGGTGGGCTGTGGCTGTAGCCCAGTACTAGTAGCTGGAAGGGGAGGCAGGGCAAGGGAGAGGACCTCCAGCCTGTCACCTGGGTTGCCTGCATGGTACTGAGTGAGCTGATGGCTTCTGTGTGGGCCTCTGGCTGTGGGGACAGTCAGATAGGAATGGACACAATGCGGCCCACCCTCTGCATGCACACACACACGTGTGCACACACATCTACATGCACATACCACACGTGTGTATATACATGTATAGATATATACCTGTGTGCATACACATACATTATCCACATATGTACATAGACACACATACACATGTGCACACACCTGTGGGCAGAGCCCACTCCTCTTCCCCTGATGAGGTTGTGATGGTATTAATAATCATAATGGTAGATGATATTTACTGAATGCTTACTGTGCATGAGATGTTCCACTAACAGTTTTACATCCATTATCTTATTTAATCTTCATAGCCCCTTGTGGGGTAGGAAGTTGGCCACATTGCCCACATCCAGTAGCCAGTGAATAGTTGTGCTTGGAGTTTGCGCCGTAGGCTGACTTACGAGCCATAGCCCAAGCCGCATCCCGAAAACACAGAACACGGGGAGCCCCTCCTTAGGAGAAAATTTCTTTCCAAAATATCACTTCATACCTTGCTCAGGGAATACTCTTGCCGTCGTAAGTAATAGGCGTCTAATTCACACCAGCTAGAGGCCCAAGGCAGCCTCAGGCGGGGCTGGAGGTATGAGCAGCAGCGGGCACGCTCCCTTCCCACCAGCCCACACTAGCCATGCTTGCATGTCTGCAAACGCAGTCTCTGCTTGCTTCTCTCATAGCACCAGCGGAGCACAGGGTAGTCACACCTGTCCCTCAACCCCTCCAGATTCTGGAGAGGGAGAGCTGGGGCCGTGTCCAGCATTGTTTCTTGAGTCTGAGGTCAGGGGGTTCCTGTGGAGATGCAGGTCAGTTTATCCCTGCAACAATTCTCTTCCCTCACCAAAGGGCCCTGCCTGTGGAGGGGCACCTGTCTTCTCCCCATGGTGCCTGCACCTGCCTCGGGGTGCCTTCTTCCCCTTCTGTCTCCTTCTCCAGAGCCAACATCAGTCTCCCTCTCTGGACCTTCTACTTGGGGTCTGATCTTTGGGCTGCTCAGACGTCAGAATCCCTGAGCTCCTCAGGGGTTTCCCCTCTTGGCTACGCTCTGCAGCCGCCCCTCCTCTCAGTGGCCTGGGGGCAACTTTAAGATCTCTCCTTCTGTAAGTCAGAAGGCAGGTTCTCCTCCCATAGAATCCAGTCCCTCGGCAGAGTGAGAGGCCTCTTCCTCTTTGTCCTGTTGTGCTAACCACGTTACGTTGTCTTGTGCTGGTTTGTTTCTCTGTCTTCTCTGAAGTTCCCGAAGGATGGCTTAGTATTCAGCTAAGTGGTACACAACCTGGGGCCAGTCCATGATAGGCACTTAATAAAGGCTTGTCAGGAAGGCGGATGAATGAATGCTTAACACACAGGTGTGTGTGCATCTGCTGTGCGCCTTGCTAGGGGGATCTCCAGCTGGTTGTCTCTGGTTTGTGTCAGATGCAGCCCTGCCTTGACAGAAGCTGTTTCTGACTCCCTGTGTAACACTAACAGAACTTTCTTTTACCTCCTGTAGCCAAACAAAGTCAGGAATGAAGCTAAAGAGCTGAGGTTGCTCTGTGCAGAGGATGAGCAAACCAGGACGTGCTGGATGACAGCGTTCAGACTCCTGAAGGTATGTGACATCTTGCAGTTTGTGTTGAGTGCACATCTCTTCATGAAAATTGGCCTCTGGACCTGCCAGAATAGACAAAGTCAGAAGGCAGGTTCTCCTCCCATAAAATCCAGTCCCTCGACAGAGTGAGAGGCCTCTTCCTCTTTGTCCTGTTATGCTAACCACGTTACGTTGTCTTGTGCTGGTTTGATTTTCTGTCTCCTCTGAAGTCCCCGAAGAATGGCTTATTTTTCAGCTAAGTGGTACACAACCTGGGCCCAGTCCATGATAGGCACAATACTTTGTCTGTTCTGGCAGGAAAATGCTTGTAACTTTTCTGCTGTTTTGTCACAATGTTTTATTTATCAAATGTAGTTAAGCATCTTTCTAAACAAGATCTCAGGAGTTTTTAACAGAGGGCCTAATATTAAACAGGTTAGAGCTAGGTCTTCCAGACTCAGTACTTACTGACATTTTGGGTGGAATAATTCTTTGTTGGAGGTCTGGGGGACATCCAAGCATTGCAGGCCACTTAGCTGTGTGGCATACCTGGTCTCTGCCTGCTAGGTGCCAGTCTCACGCCTGGCCAGTTGAGACAACCAAAAATGTCTCTAAATGTTGCCAAATGTGCCCTGGAGCCAGAGGGTGGAGAATTGCCCCTGGTTGAGACCACTAGATTAGAAGAATAGGATTCGAAAAATCAGAACCAGGGAGAAAGGAAATAGTACATGAGGTGTTAATTATTTTCACGACTGAACCAACTCTCAGGTTCCCAAAAAGCCAGGACCATGAAGTAAACATGATGAATTACACAGCTCACTGTAGCTCCTCAGCGGAGACGGTACCTCCTGACTGTAAGTTCTAAAGGAAATGTATCACGTGGAACTGCATATGGAGTAATGCCCTTGACAGCAATTTCATGCTAATTGCCAGAGTGATTTCATACGACTGTTTATTGTAATCACTTTGGATTTCCCACAGTGTTCCTTTGCACACATACCATATCCCACATGTCTGGAATTAAGTCTACAGAGTCCTTGTGAGTTGCAAGTTAGCTGGCCCAGATAAGCTTGGCTAAAGTCCAGGGGTCTCCATAGGAGATGTTCGTTTGGAGCCGATGGATACAATGGTCCAGGGATTTCTTTACAAAAACTCCCAGCCTTCATTGAACTGTAGTGGCCTTTTATCTGGTCCAGAGACTCAAGGTGGAGTCAATTAAGGAGATGGAGGAGCCGAAGGAAGCATAGCTCAAAACTTTCCTGGAGGTGCTGCAGATCCAATTCTGAATGTAGTCCTGTTGTTGTGGCCATTTGGCAGGTAGCACTTTGCACCCAGTAATCCACAGATTCCAGAGACATTAAGGATGCATCCTAGTGCCATTTTATAGGAGGCTGGGGCCCAGACCAAAAGTTCCACAGATTGACTTCCTGTATCTCTGTCCCAGAACCTTATTTTATGTTTCCACTGATAACAAAAAGAATTATGAAAATCAAAATTTTATGAATTCATAATGGAAGAGGAAACGTCCATGTTAGTACATCATAGATCATAGACCACTCCTGTTATAGGCCAGTTTTCAGTGTGTAAGGGTCACCAGTGGGCACTGATCACACAGGTGACATAATGTCCATCGAGGGCAGTCTTCTGCATGGACCTCCAGAAGGAATGAGATTGTTCTTTGTGTCCTGTTGTGGAAAAATTACTAACAATTAAAAAGCAAAATACAGAACAGCATATAGAGAGAATGCTACATTTGTGTGAAGGGAATATTTGTATTAGATGGTATGCTCGTGAACATTCTGTGAGACTGCAGGAGAGAAGAAAGAGGTTGCTTAGTAGGGAGAGGAGATGGGAGAGGCAGCTGTGCAGACAGGGGGCAGCGGCCACGGGTGATCTTTTAAAGGTGTCTGTATATAGTTGAAATTTTAATATGCAAATGAATAATCTGTTTTGGAAAAGGCAAAAAAAAAAAAAAAGAAAGAAATGAAAAAGGAAAGTGGTAGTACACTCCAGGAAGCTATGAATTCTATTACTTTGGGTAATACATAATAAATCCAGGTAGTAGCTTCTTAACCACTGTTTCTTGGGCGTCTCTCCTTTGTTGCACTAACATAACGAGCCACAGGAAAGGATGTGGGCAGAGTGACTAATGCAAAACGAACTGACTTTATTGTTGTCAGTGTTAACAATGATGTGTTACATAATATTAAGATTATTTTAGAGCATTTGCTATGGGCCAGGCATTCTTTATCACTTTACTGTTTGTGACAGCTCAGTGGCATGCATATTATCATAATCATTATGTGGATGACAAAACTGAGGCCCAAGCTGTGGCTGCTGCGATGTGGCAGAGCCGGGTCAGAGCCCTGACATTCTGGCCCCAGAACCCCTTTCCTCACTACCATGCTTTGCTGCCCTCCCTAAAGCCGCCTGGAAGGTGCAGTCAGTTCTGAATGCATTCCTTTTGTCCCTGCCACTTTGCAGAGAAGCACTTTGCATCCAGTGATACACAGATTCTAGAGACATTAAGGATACATCTTAGTACTATTCTTATAGGAGGCTGGGAAGCCAGACCTGACAGGAAGGTAGCAGTGATGGCCTCGGGGCCAATCTCAAGTGGAGTGCAAGTGACATGTTTCTGCCTCAAACAGCCATAGGATTGTAATACAATCAAAATGCCATTTCAGTCTTGTTGGCACTGATTCATTACCCACTATTCAGAAATGATACCTGGATAGAGTTAGGGACAGTGGAGAGGCAACTCTTTATGACTCCAGGGTCTCCATGTTGACAATCGTTCTAAAACAAGGCATCCCATGTGTATGCTCTGCCTTCCTCCAGAAGAGGACACAGGACACCGGATCCCCTTTTAGAGGATAAGAGGGTCTGAGGGCTGAAGCTGACAGGGCCCTTTTACCATTTACTACAAACAGCATCTTCATATCAACCGTGGAAAGGCAGAGCTGGGTTGTTATTTTGAATTAACCTAGGACTTCTTACATCTTTACCCACACAGATACACTTTCTTGAAAGAAATAAATAAATCTTATAGCTTGGGTCTACATAGGAGAAAGCTGGCCTAGCTATACTTAGCTTTTCAGAAAGATGCTCTTAGTAGATAGCGCCAGCAGATAATCTTTTGTCTCATTCCTTCCTGTTACATTGTTTTTTAGGTAATTTCTTGGATGCTATAGGAGCTATGCAAATAGCATTAAAACTTTGCAACAATTATTTATTACCATCTTTCCTCCTTCCTCTGTCTTCTAAAAGTCTCTTAATCTGCTGTAGAAATTCATCCCCAAGAGGGAGGTCTTGCCTGATCCACGCAAGAGTCCCTAGTACTGGTTGCTTTGGTTTTACATGAGCTGACGTTGAAAAGGCAATGAACGCAGCATTAAAACTTTGCAACAATTATTTATTACCATTTAATCTTTTCTGTCTACACACACCCATAGATGTAGATATATACATGCAAACGTGAATAAAATAAAATGTGTATGTTAATTAGGTGCCCAAAATTGAGAATATTTGTATCTTCCTGGTATGTCAATTCTAAGACATGAAATATGCTTTATTATCTCTAGCAGTGCTCCTTGCCCCAGAGTCTAATCTGGTTCATATTAATTTATTTAACGCTTTTTACCTCAGCTTTGCTTCATTACATAGTTTTTCTTGGACTGTCTTTTTTCTACCTTTCTGGGTCCTTATGTTTAAGGAATATCTCACATTTATTATAATACAATTATTAATACAATTATTAATTAATTGGGCTCAAGCAATCTGCCCGCCTTGGCCTCCCAAAGTACTGGGATTATGGGCATGAACCACCACACCCAGCCTAACATGCACCTTGAACTTACGAAAATCTTTTATAATGTAGTACGTTTCTGACTGCTTTCAGACAGGCATGAGGACCTTTCGTTCCATTTGCTCCATTGTCCCTTTTGAAGGATTCTTGTCGTATATATAAAACCTCTTAAGACATAATGTTGTTACTGTTTTATATACTCAATTTTAATGTTAATCACTTACATCTTTGCGCTTTAATCTTTCCTGAATTCGCATTCTTCCCTCTGGGACTAGGAGACCTCAACTTAGCAGTTCTTTTCATGTGGGCCTAAGAAATTTTCTCAGTTTTTGTTTCACTTTTATTCTTGAAGGAACATTTCACTGGTTATAGGATGCAAGGTTAGCGGTTATTCTCTTCTGCATCTTCCCACTGCATTGTCTTCCGAATCTTATAATTTATGTAAAAACATTAGCTGTCTGTCTTCCCATTGCTTCTGTGAAAATAATGCATGTTTTCCTCTGGTTGTTTTTGACATTTTCTTTGTGTCTGTTTCTCAGCAATCTTTCCACGATATGCTTGGAGTGGGCTTATTTATCCTACACCCTGAATCTGTAATTTGACGTCTTTTGGTCAACTTTGGAAAGTTCTTGGCATTATCTCATCCAATATTTCTCCTGACCTGTTCTCACTCTTCTCTCGCTGGAGTGCAGTTGTTCCTCTGTTAGACCTTTGCATCATGTTCTAGATATTTTTATCTTAGAAATGAGTATGGCAGACCTAGAGCCAGAACTAAGCTTAGATCCCATAAAAGAAGAGGTGTCGCACTTGATGACTTTGCTTCCTGTTTCAGACTCTTCTTCTCCACGTGATTGGAATGTGTGATTCGGGTGTGTAGGCTGGGATGCTGGATGTGTGTAAGACTTTGCAGGGCCCCAAGTCCTAATTGCCAGGATCAGAAAGCACAGACTGCTGAGCCAATTAGGTGGCAAGCCTCGGCTAGGGAGGGCACTGGGTCTGGAACAGGCCGTGTACGTTCAAAGTCGTGACTGTGGGCAGCTTGCCTCATTCCTCTGTGCTTCAGTTATGTGCTGTGTAACATGGGGATAATTATAGTATACAGCTCATAAAATGGAGAGGATTAAATGAAATAACAACATAAAGCACTTAGACACATACCTAACCCATAGTGGCACTCAGTAAGATTACTTGCTCTTGATGTTATTATTATTATGTTTGTCACTATCCTGCTTATTCCAAACCAGTCAGCTCTTCCCTCCTGAGGGGCAACAGTAGCAGCAGCACTGAGGCGTGCACCATATTGAATGTGAAGTTGAATGATTTGAACTGTGTAGTTCCACTTAGAGATTTTTTTATATATAGAAATCTATTATAAAAAGTTAAAGTTTATCAAAACTGAATGCACACAAACACCGACTGTATATGGCACCATTTGTAGTCAAGAGATGTGAACAAACAAAGATGTGGATAACCTCAGAACTGCATAAAATTACTCATAATTTTGTAGCCACCTCCTGTTGCTACAGTGAACTCAGATGTTGCAAATACCCTTTTAAAAACCCACCTTGTGTTGCTAATTATCTCCCCATGAGCAGGTCCTCTCTCCAGTAAATTACGTGTTGTAGTAAAAACTGGGCTCATGTTTCTGGAGTATTTTTCGTTGTGTGTAGTGCAATACAGGAACTTTAAGGAACACCATGGGACCCATATGAAATGTCACTAGTGAAACTGGACGTGCTCCCAAGAACAGAGAAAAGTCATGACATTACAAGAAAAACTTAAATTGCTTGATAGAGTTTGAACGGTTGCCCTCTACATCACACAGATAATTCATTATGTCAACAATGTAAACTTACAGGATCAGTAAATGCAGTTCAATCCCATAATTGTATTTTCTCTTATTATTTTCTTAATAACATTTTTTTCTCTAGCTTCCTTATAAAAAATACAGTATAGAACACATATAACATACAAAATATATGTTAATTAACTGTTTATGTTGTCAGTAAGGCTTCTGGTCAACAGTAGCCTACCAGTAGGTAAGTTTTGGGGAAGTCAAAAGCTATACTCGGATTTTTTATTTCAAGGGGCATCATTGCCCCTAATCCCTGCATTGATCAGGGTCAGCGGCACTCAGGCTCCTGGAGGCTGGTACAGGGCATCGCTCCCTGTTCTGCACTCAACATTGCCCTTTCCTGCTGTGGCATTTGTCACATGCCAGCCCTCGGGGCTCCCGGGCCGGTCACTCACTGTGGCTTCTCCCCTCCAGTATGGAATGCTCCTTTACCAGAACTACCGAATCCCTCAGCAGAGGAAGGCCTTGCTATCCCCGTTCTCAACGCCAGTGGTAAGTAAAGCCAGAACCTTCAGAAGTCTAGTGCCGTTTCAGCTTCTGCATCACACGTGTTAAGGACGCCTCATTTCACACGGGGTGGGCAAGAGAACCTCCGGAGAGTGTGTGCGCATTTCAGCGAAACCATTATGTCCCACGATGACGTCGGTTTTGTAGTCTCAACAGCGTAACGGCAGGGAGTGAATTCCTCTGCCATTCTTCTCCCGTCCCTGCATCTCCCCTCAGGGTTGTGTAAGTAGGTGGCTTTCTTTAAATGCTCAAAAATGGCAGCAACAACTTTTGGCCTTGTGGGGCACTGCCTTTCCTGCTTTTCGCCTTTGTTCCTTAAGCCTTGGGACCCATGGGAGCTGTTGACTATTATGCTGCATTCATTCCCTGGTGAGAATTTAGAGATTGTCATCGTTCCTCTTGTGCTCTGGACACTCTGTTCTCAAAGGGGCAGAAGCACTTCATCTTCTCAAAATATAGTCCTGAGGGTCCTTCAGCGTCTGCCCCTTTGAGATGCCAAATGGTGCCACAGAAAGAGTCCATGAGTTTTGCCGAACGCACGTCCCCGAGGGAATGACTCACTGGGGAGGCCTAGGCTCACACTGGCTATCGATTTCTTTGATGTGTTGGAGTGCAGGTCAGGACCCTGTGAAGGACCACATGGTCCAAATGCTGCGGGTGCTGGGGGCCTCACCAGCAGCCTTTTTAATACTCAGGGAGGACTAGAATGTGTTTCATTCTTAAGAAGAACCGAAGGGGCCACTGAATTTTCAGGCTAAACCAGTGAATTTCCCACCTGAAACTTGGGGAGTTCAGAGGTAGAAAACGGGCATTCCCTGCTCCCCTTTCCTGACCGTCTTGATGATAGTTTCACGCCAAGACTCCACTCTGCCTTATTTCGCTATATTTTAAGAACCGTGACCTTCCCTTTTCAGCGCAGTGTCTCCGAGAACTCCCTCGTGGCAATGGATTTTTCTGGGCAAACAGGACGCGTGATAGAGAATCCGGCGGAGGCCCAGAGCGCAGCCCTGGAGGAGGGCCACGCCTGGAGGGTAAGGCCCCGGCCCTGGCCAGCCTGGAGGGGCTCCCTCAAGGTGGCAGCCCCACCACGTGGTCTTCTCCCAGAGAACGGCTCTATGCGGGTTGGCAAGAGGGGTGGCATGTTGGGTGGGGGTCCTCTGAGTTCTCAGCTGCAGGAAGCAGTTGGCGCTTCTAGGCCCCTTCCATGTTCCCAGCACCCAGCCTTTCCCCACTGCCCCCTGTCCCTGGGCTTTCATGGAAGGGACAGGAGAGGAACAGAACTCTCTGCCCACCCTGGCCCCCGTGCAGAACTGTTCTGATGAACTGGCAGTGGCTGTCTGTGGAGGGCATAGAGCCCAGGCCTGAGTGGGGCCAGCAGGTGTTCACGTCAGGGTCTGCTGCTAACAGCCTGGAGGCCTTGGGCTACTCCCTCACCCCCAAGGCTTAGGTTCTTAATCTCCAGGTAGAAAGACTATCACTCAGCTTCCAAGCTCCTGAGGCTTAAAGGCTATGTGCAAAACAGGAGCCTGTACTCTGGCATTTTCTGTACTTCAGCCTCAGGGAGTCCCAAGCACGGGAAGTCCAGCGCCCAGTGCTTTGAGAACTGCGTGAGTTTAATAGAAAGGCTCGTGTGTTTCTCCTGAGATTTATCAGGATGTTCATGGCGTTTTCATCGTATGTCTTCAGTGTGAGAAATAAGCATCTCTACTTCGGTACTGGGGCTACTAGAGATATCTCAGGGTGTTCTTAACAACTGGAAACCCTGAGCTCTTTGTTCTCAGGGGTCAGTGGGGGCTTCAGATGGGGCAAGGGCCCTTGTGAGCCCAGTCAAGCACCCGACCCAGTGCCCTGCCATGACTTGGTGTGTCTGTCTGCTGTCCTTGGTGCTAATGTGGAATTTCTTTTGCAGAAGCGAAGCACACGGATGAACATCCTAGGTAGCCAAAGTCCCCTCCACCCTTCTACCCTAAGTACAGGTAAACAGGCACATTGCCTGATGTTTTTGTACATAAAGAAAATCAAACAACACCCCCTTCACTCCCCCGAGCCTTACAAATTTGCCTGTGCCCAGAGTGCACCACATAAGCTGTAGCTGGGGGAGTCGGGGGCTCTGCGTTGATCAGAGTTGGTTGTGCTGTCAAGGAAGCCATTCTGCAGAGGCGCCACCATCCTGCCCTCCTCCTCTCTCCCCCTCACAGTGATTCACAGGACACAGCACTGGTTTCACGGGAGGATCTCCAGGGAGGAATCCCACAGGATCATTAAACAGCAAGGGCTCGTGGACGGGTAAGGAACCACCACTGATAAGAGCTGGTCTGCTGAGGTTTGATTGTGCTGGGAATCTGTTCTGTTTAATTCCTCAGACATCCTTGCTGGGCAGGCAGCAGTTTTGTCCTCATTTTAAAGAGAAGAAAAGGTAGGCTCAGAGGTATAAGTGGTACACAGAGCTTGGCCAGCTAGTAAGGGGCAGAAAGGGATCTAATCCGTGTCTGCCCAGACTGCATCTGTAATTATCCTTCACCTCTGGATGAAATCTGAAGAGGTGGACAACACAAACTGTTTTATCTTCATAAGATAGTGGGCAAATGGGAAAAAAAAATGCTTTTGCCTACACTTTTTGATTATGTACTATATGAGGTTGGTTTTGCTGAGAACAAATAGCCCCAAACCTTAGTGGCTTAAAACAACAAAAATCAATTACGTATGATCGTTGTTAGTTGAGTGGCCTTTCTCACCTGGGCCAGCTTGGCTGGGGCTGGACAGTCCAGGAGAGGTTCACTCGTGTCTGGTTGTTGCTGTGGGCTGTTGCCATGGCGATGAGTGACTGGGCATGTGTCTCCAGCAGGTTACTTGAGGCTCCCAGGCATCGCAAGAAAGGTTAGGCCCCACTTGAGAAGTGGACAAGACTTCTCAAGATTCTCTTGGCATCACATTTGCCACCATCCCATTGACCAAAGCAAATCCCAAGACCACACTTGAATGACCCTGGGAAGGAGCTAGTCACAGTGTGGATATAGGGACAGGGACGTGGGATGCCGTTACCACAGAAGGCCGACCCTGCGGAGCCAGCAGAGTCCTCCAGAAAGAGACACAGGCTGATCATCCGCCCTGAGGAAGTAGTTGCATCCACGTGGGAGCTGTCCCATATAGGGTCTGAATGCTCAAAATACAGGTTCCTGGAAGCTGCTAAACTCAACGAGTGATTCTTGTGTCCTTCGTGTTACAAAAAGTATTATGGAAATTTTCACATTTCATAAGTGTATAGCGAAACCCCACTTACCCATCACGCAGCTTCAACCTGCTAACTTACTTACCTTTCACACATTTTCTCCTCCTCCTCCTCCTCCTCCTCTTCAGCTCTCTTTTTCCTTTTTTCTCCTCCTCTTCCTCGTCCTCTTCTATTTTAAAGGGAATTTCAGAATCCTAAATTCTTGCCAGCAAGTACATCTCAGTACCTGTCTCTAAAAAATAAGGATCCTTTTGTTTTGATACAACTGCAATATTATTACACTTAACAAAATAAATAAGAATTTCTTGCTATCATCTAAACGCTAATCCATGTTCAGATTTCCCCAGTTGTCACCAAAAAAACTCCTTTAAATTAAATTGAGGTTATTTAAGGCAGGACCCACAAATGGCATTTGGATGCTATACCATTTCACCTCTGTCTCCTTGGATATGGAATAGTCTTTCTCACCACTCTGTTTTTCTTCTGTGTTTTTAAACATCTTTTGTTTGTTAAAGAAGTGGGTCATTTGCTAATAGCATGTTTGTGGTTTATTTTAATAAGTTCCTCTGTTTCCCGGATTCCTGGGGAGTGGTGGTCATGGTGTGATCAGATGCATTTCTCCTGCCTGGTGTCCGCTGGGTGCTCTGCTGCCTGGAGTGGAGGAGGCCTGAAGCCTGGCTGCTGTTTAATGGTGTTGGATGAGCAGAGGTTCAAGTGCAGCCAGCTGGAGCCTCCCCACCAAGGCTGCCATCCCCGTCCACCACATGGTTTTAGCAGCCCTTGGTGAACTTGCCGTGGTTCAGTATTCCATAGGGGTTCCAAAATCATCATTTTCTAATTCCTTCCTATATGAGCAGAAGTTCTCTCTTGCATCACATGTTTCTTGGAAAAAGTAGGTAAATGCCTGGATTTTCCCTTTACTTGTCAATTTTTAGAATAATGAGTTTGTGTTCTCCCACTTTCCACTAGAGGCAAACAAGGGGTGTTTTTGTTGTTAGTTTGTTTGGGTTTTGTTTAAACTGTCACTATGAACTTAGATTTTTGTGTTTGATTTATTTCAGTCAAAACCTCCTCTTCTTGATGCTCACTTTGCCCCTCATTGGCCAATGGCTTCTTCAGATTGCTTCCTGAGTTCTTTTGAGCTAGCATTAATGGTATTTGGTTTTGGGGTGACAAGATTTATTAAACTTAAATGATGCGTTTCTCACAGGGACCCTCATTCTTACTAATGGAAAATGGTATTTGAAGACTACAATCTTTTAGATCTTTGTAGTAAACAGAGCTAGGACATGGGCTTTTTTAAAACAAAAAATAAATTTTGGATTCGCGTTGATATTGCTAATTCAAATTTGAGATTACAGGATTTTTTACTTCTTTGATTTTTTTTTTTTTCCTCTGATGATCTCTGTTAATGGCATTAACTTAATTACTTATTACTTTATCAACACATAATATAAAATACATACATGTAATATCTTGAAAATATTAATGCTGATATTAATTCAGTAAGACTTGCGATTTCTTTGCAGTCCTTTTAATCCTTAAGGATTAATCCAGGCAGGTTACCTTAAAATACCTTGCCCACAGTCACTTGAAGTAATTCTGCTCTATGGTTCTGCCACCAAACTGCTGGGTAAATCAGGTTTGTTTGTTTCAGTTTCTCTTTAGTGTTTGCAAGCGGATCTGATTTATTTTCTTTTTGGTTGAATGTTGCTTTGTAAATTGCATAAAACATTTTCATGGATCCAAAGTCAGATCTATGAAATAAGGCACATGCCCTGTCCACTCAACTTTGCTTCCCAACCCCTACAACAGATAAACAGCTTTTATTAGTGTTTGTTTATCCATCTGTCATTTCGTTGTACAAATACCAGCGAAACGATTTTGTTTTCTGCCTCTCGTTAAGCAAAGGTAGCGGGGCTGCAAGTACCGCGCTACACAGTTCCCGCAGTCTCTGCGTCCCAAGGATCGCTCCACAGCAGCTCATGGCGATGGCCCACATCTCTTTTACACTCTTGGGTTTTCTTTTATGTACATGGAACATCGTTTTTTAAAATGTCCCCTACTGACGGATGTTCACCATGTTTCCATGCAAATGTTATGAGACACAGTGCTGCATTGTTTCATAATTTTGCCGTGTATCTTTGCTATGAGTCCTGAGAAGTAGGGCTGTGGGGTGGAAGGGCAGGGCCTATGTAATATGGTGAAATGTCACCAGAGTCCCTCAGCAGGCTTACCTCTTCCATCTGAGAGTCATGCTGTAAGCCGTGTCTCTCATGAAGGAAGCCGACCCTCATTTCATGTATGGAAGGACTTCTTTGTCTTTGGCAGTTCTGCACTGTTTACATTTTTTGTCCATTTTTCTAATCGATGAAGTTGCAGACACTTTTGTTTTTCCCACTCCTGAATCATAAAGGGGTACTTTATGTCTTCTTGTACTTGGATTCTTTTCCCCCCTCTCTCCTTCCTTCCCTCCACCCCTCTTTCCTTCCTTCCTGCTCTCTCTCCCTTTCTTTCTTTTGTCCTTGTTTGTTCATGTTTGGTTTTGGTTCAGTTTTGTTTCGATCCCAGATGCACTTGGCTTTATTTATCCTCACTGCTGGGTAAAGAATGGGTCTGATTTTATTTTGTTTCCCATGTGGCTTTACAGTTACTCCAAAACTCCTTACTTGAGATATCAGCTTTAGCACAGAGCAGTCTCTCAAAGCATTAGAAGCGACTCCTCCTCTAACTATAAAAATGTATGTTTCTTCTCTAAAGTTTCTGGCATGCCTAAGGAGAGAAAAGCCTAACGTTGAAATTTCTCTTTCTGTGACATTTTTGAGTTAGGGATGTCTGTGTGTTCTGGGGCTTCTAATATAGTGTATACCTGCTTATACCCCTGAACCACATCAACAGTGGACCCAGAATGTTCTAGGGGTACCACTGTTCCCCTTGCTGTCTGTGGGTCTAGGGGTACCTCTGTTACCCTTACTGTCTGTGGGAGGCAGCACGGGCTCACTTGGGGGTAGTGTCACTCTGCTGGAGAAATGGCATTTCCACAGGAGGCTTTATTTGGTGCCGTGGCTACTAAGTGTCGTCCCCAAGGCCAGGGCAGTGAGGATGCCCATCACCCCGAGGCACAGATGTTTCTGAACCTCAGTGGGGCGGGTGTGGCAGTCGTGTTCGAAGAAGCTTCCTGAGTGATTCTGGGATAAGGCCACTCTGTCCACTTTGGATTGGAAGGGCTGCCTTGGGGTGGGGTGGATTGCAGGTCAGCCCTGCTGGGCCATCTGCATTGTGTGTCAGCGTTTTGCTTCCCCCAGCCATGTTTGTCTTTCAAATTTTCTTGGATCAGAAAACCAGTTGGCGAGGCTTCCATCTTTCCAGACTTGTAAAGAGATAGAAGCATCACCTCTGTTACCTTCTGTTCCCCAAAGCAGCCTGCTGGTGCCACCCTTCTTATTCATCAGCAGGCATTCCTCTCCATCCTCCCTGGAGCCTTCCTTGTCTCTAAGGCTGTCATTTCCAGCTCCCGCCTTAGGCTGCTGGAGCGCTAGCCACACACAGAAATGTAGATAATGGGATCGATTCAGGCGTTAACACAGGGACAGCTCATCTTCCTCGTAATTCTTGGGTGGAGGGAGGAGGTATATTTGTATGACAAGGTAAATAATCCATTTCTAATCTTTACTGATCCCTCCAGAGATGATGAAGGCAAGCCAATTTAAAGAGTCAAACAACAAAGAAAAGAAAAGAAAAGCACCTTGAAAAACAGCGCAAGATTCTGGACAGATAATATAAAAACAGCATTTTCCATAGCTTTATTCTCAAATGGTATATGCAGTTAGAAAGAGACATCAGAGCCTTAAATAAGCCTGTAAGGTATTCCTGAAATCCCAGGATCCAGGCAGCTCCCCTCCCACCCCCACCCCCACCCACGTAGCTGAGAGTGTGTGTGCGTGCGCATACTCATGCTTTACCAACCCTGCACTGAATTTGCGGCCTGCTTCCTTCCTGTCTCGCCACCCATACCCATCCCAGAACTGCAGGAGAAGGATCTTTTTAAGGGCAAATCTAGGATAGTCCTCTCTGCTAAACAGTCCCACCCCACCCACAGCACCATGCTTATCCCCCCAGAGCCTGTGGATGCTCCCCCTGCCACGCCCACACTCATGGTCCAGCCCTACTGGCCTTCCTGCTGAGCCAGGGATCAACCCCTGTGTCATCTGTCTGTGCAGTCCCTCTGTCTGCACTTCATGCCCGTCCACATGTTGGAGAGAAACCTCTTCAGCAAAATTTGAATTATTTGAAGCTTTCTCTTCTCCCAACCACAGAAAAAGAGGTGTTATCTCCAGGACTCGTATAGCACCCTTGTAAGAGGGATATTTTGACTTTTCATCTGCTCTTCCTGCTGAACCAGGAACTCCTCCATGACTGACTGTGTGACCTTGGGGAAGTTGCTTAGCTTCTCTGTGTGCCACTTCCCTTATCATTGTGAAATGAAGATAACAGCGTCACCTTGAAGATAAATGAGTTAATATGTGCCTGAAACACTTTGCGTGGTGTCTTGCTTGTAAACATGGTCTAGATTGTTACTCTGATCACTGTCGGGTCCTGTCACCAGGGGCTCTTCATTCGTTTATGGTGGACTGGTGAGTGCACCATCCCTAGCATCCACTCTTAATAAAGACAAGAACTTACCTGGTTCTTGTCACTCCATTCTAGGCCATGTTTACAACTTCTGAGCCTGGTTAGTAGTCACTTAGCGTGCTTAGCATCTCACTGGGCGTCTTTCCTATAACTGCCATCTCCTTAGAAATCACTGGATTGTGGCAGTTGGCTGATTGCAGTATTTCAAGCTACCTTATATTGCGTGCGATTGTGCACAATGCTGTATGTACATCAGCCATAGTCTTCTCAGTGGTCCTGCAAGAGAAGAGTTATTCTGGGTGGGCGCGGTGACTCATGCCTGTAATTCCAGCACTTTGGGAGGCCGAGGTGGGCAGATCACCTGAGGTCAGGAGTTCGAGACCCAGCCTGGCTAATACCATGAAACCCCATCTCTACTAAAAATATAAAAATTAGCTGGGTATGGTGGCGGGCGTCTGTAATCCCAGCTACTCGGGAGGCTGAGAGGGAAGAATCGCTTGAACCTGGGAGGTGGAGGTTGCAGTGAGCTGAGATTGCACCGTTGCACTCCAGCCTGGGCGACAAGAGCGAAACTCTGTCTCAAAAAAATAAAAAGGAAAGAAAAGAGGTGTTGTTCCCCTTCTGCAGATGAAGAAATTGAGGCTGAGAAGGCAAGTTGCCCAAGATCATGAAGCTAATAAGTGACCTATCCAGGATTCCTGCTGATGCCTAAGCCATGCCGTTCTCCCCCCATAGCAGTCATCTCAGATAGACAACCTTCAGACATTCCCTGTAAAGCCCAAGCCTTTCAGCAGCCTTGGGACTTCCCAGAGTAAGCCTGCCCCTCTCAGGGGTGCACAGGCCTGGGCCGTGCTGCCGTTCACTATCTGTAGCTTCCCATCTGCGGAAGACAGCAGATAGTTAACAGCAGAGAAAGAGACGCCCCACGTTTTCCTCTAGTTAGAGCTGGAGCTCGGCAAACTTCTGGGTTTCAGAATAACGATGTTTTGTTTGGAATGATATGACTCTGACTAAAGAAAACAGGTCTTTGAGGTGGGCACAGCTGCCCAGCGTGCACCACCAGCACTCAGGAGAGGAACTGAATCTCCGTGTCCTCTCTCTGGCGGTGCCACATATTCCCCAGTAGGGTCTGAGATTCCTCCCGCCGTCCCATCTGGCCTGACCAAGCCAAACCGTGGAATCCCATTCTGATCGGTGTTTCCCAAAGTATATCCTGAAGAACACAAGGCCTGCAAAGTGCTATTTTAGAAAGGGTGGGGGGAGGTTTCTACTTAGGTAAGATTGGAAAACTACTAGACAGTTACCATGAATATTCACATTTTTAAGGCTCTGAGAAGTCCTGTAGTAAAATATATTTGTTTTACCCTTTCAGCATGGGATTTTTCCAGTCTTATTTAACTGCTTTCCATCTTCACATTACAGTCTAGAATTGGTGATTTTGCTGATGATTCTAGTTTGGTTTTGGATATATTTAAAGAGAGTTCCTTCTCAGGCCCTTTCTTCTTTGTAGCTTTCATTGGATCCTTCTTTTTCTGATGTATAACTATCTTTTCAGCTAACTCCAGATTTTTTCATGTAAGAGCAATGATTTTATGCCTTTTTTGTGCTATTCTAAGATTTAGAAAAAAAATTTTAAGGTTGTGGAAAGGTTGCAATAATAATAGGATGACCTGTACACACTTCGCCCAGATACCTTTATTAAGATTATAGCACATTTGCCTGATTCTTCTTAGTTATTTTTTTTTTCTTCTGAACCATTTAGGAGTAAGTTGTGGCATGACGTCCCTTTAATCTGAATTATTTCAGTGTAAAATTTCTAAGAACAAGAACTTCTATAACCACAATACCGTTATAAAAACCAGGAAGTTAACATTGACGCAGTTCATTGCCTAATCCATACCCTTCTTCCTAGTTGCCTCCTTTATAGCAAAAGAACATCTTCATCCAAATCTTCTCTCCCAGCACGTATTCATAATCTTGATCTGCGTTGTGAGTAGAAGCCAGTTCTTGTAGAGTGAGCCTGGGCTCAGCCTAGGCTCCTCACTCATGGTGAGATTCAGGCTATGCATTTTTGGCAGGAACACCCCAGAAAAGTGATGTTGTGTCATCTTCAGTACATCCTCTCCAGAGGCCCTCAAGGTCAATTTGTCTCATTGCTCCTGGTGGTAATTTAGACACTTGATGAAGATGCTGTAGGCCAGATTTCTCCACTGTAAAGCTATTATTTTCCCCTTTGTAGTAAATAAGTATTAACAGTACAGTACTTTGATGCCATGAAAATACTCTTGTTTCTCATCCACCTTTCATTTGCTGGTTTCAGCATTTGTTGAAGATCTTCTCCTTCATTGATTGTTACTACGGTAATTGCCAAAGGGTTGTTTTCGAATGCATCGTGGCTTTATTTATTGACTGACTTTCTCCTCAAAGAAAGAGCTTTGCCTTCTCCCCTATTAATTTATTTGCTCATTTATCTATAAATAACACTACAGACTCATGGATTCCGATTTTATGGGTTAAAATTCATTTTGATGCCCAGATTTAGTCATCCTGCCTCCTGTGTCTTTTTGACATGTCCTTATTATTCTTTGAGTACTTTTTGACATGCAGGCACAAAGTATTCCTACTTCATCCTATAGTTCCCCTGCCCTAATCCTGTAGTCAGGCATATCCCCAAGGAGCCCATGTTTTTTCCATTGGAGAATGACAATTCAGAATTACCATCTTGGTGCTTGCCTGGGGTGCTGTTGCCACTAGAGGCCACTCAGATGCCAAAGCACTGAAGCATTGGGGCTCCAAGCCTGTGTGTGTGTGTGTGTGAGTGAGAGAGAGAGAGTGTGTGTCTGTGTGTGATTAGTGCCAGATTTTAAAATATTTTAGCAATCAACTATTTTCCATTTCCCAGGCTTTTTCTCCTCCGTGACAGCCAGAGTAATCCAAAGGCATTTGTACTCACACTGTGTCATCACCAGAAAATTAAAAATTTCCAGATCTTACCTGTAAGTATTGATATTCTCAAACCAGTCCTTGTGGTTTTGTTTTCTGGTTTCATTCTTCATGCAGTTTTCAAGTTATAAACTGACAAGACCGATAAGTATCAGACAAGACCGGTAAGTTTCAAGCCCACAGGTGAGAAACTTTCAAGAGTTTCTTTACAGGTTTGTCTTTTGAAATTAGAAAACCATTTCCCTAGAAATAATCCTGAAAGTGGCGATAGGGTGCTGAGGCCCCCCTTGAGCCTGTGAGCTCTTAGTTGCAGCTGAAAGGGTACTGACGGGGAGGGTCAAGGTCACAGGATGGGGAGGTGGAGGAGAATTAGCTGAGGGCCCAGCAGCTGTGAGCACATAGGTCTGGAAGGCAGGAGCTGTGCAGCAGGTTTGCTTGTTGGCTGTTGGAGTCTGAGGAGTCTTGTGATTTGTCCTGGTGTGCACCAGGGCTATCCAAGAAGCATAAGTGGTGTCCCAAAGAGCAATTATGTTTCTCCTTCCATATGGTCCTTGGATCTAAAGACCTTTGAACAATTCCAAAAACATCATTGCAGATTACCTTAATTAACACTACTTTTTTTGACAAAGCACTTTATGTTTGATTTGCCTAATGTAGTTTACCTCTTGCTTCAGTATGCCACAGTTCAATTCTAGTTCATGATCAGAGTGCTAGATAGCGCCTGCAAGAATTCAGTTTAGTTGAGAATACAATACACAAAATTAATAGCAGCTGTTTACGTGACGAATTGATAAATTCTGCAGGTACCGATAATGTTTGTGAAATACATCCTGTGGAACCCAAACTCTACTGAAAGAGGCTGGCTGGATAGTTTCCTCTCAGAGATTCAATCTGCATGTCAGCAAAGAAAAAGCTCTGAGAAGGCTTTCATTAACAAAACTCACCTGTTTTACACAGTGGACCCTGGAGTTCTTCAAGCTTATCTGACCCCCAGGACTTTGTTATGATCTCAAGAATCATGTAGTGGCCTGCAGCCATGGACTATACAGGATGAGGAGGGTGTCTTGCTTAGCTTTTGTGAGCCAGGGGAAGGCAGCGTGCCACACACTGTCTTTTCTGTGGCCACTTGCTTCCTGCTGTGTGCTGACATCCCCACTTCACTCGTGAGGAAAATGAGGCTCATGGCTGTAAGTGGCTTTTGCTGCACCGCGCTGGGGTGAGGAACAGAATCTGGGATTGAGCCCAGCCTTCCCAGCTTCCAGCCAACCTTGTATGCAAATACAGGAATTACTATCCTAGGGAAAGTGCCTCATAGATGATCCTTTCTGTTCTTCTACTGCATTATATTATTCACTCAGTTGTTATAATTCCTTTAGCTCAAAATATAAAATGAAAAGTGATTGACGTTTTGGGCTGGATGAGTAAATTTAAAAAAAAAGGAAAGAAGGGAGCTTTCATGGTAGGCAGAGTATGTAATGCCCAAATCCTACAAGTAACAAAAGAACAGCAACTTGAGACTTAGGGCAATAAGTGTGCAGCCTCTGTGTGTGAAAACGGGCTGTGGGATGTGCTGTTAGCTCTAGCAGTGGTTTTGGAGTTACGAAGTGGTTCCAAGCTCATTAATTAGCCAAGCCTTAAAGCTGACCTGTTCCCTGTGAACAACGCGACCTCCTCATGCCGCACTGATCTGCACAGTACACTGTTCTGCACTGTACTGCAGTCATGCAATTGAAAACTCACTGAGTTAAAATAGGTGTTAGGAATATGGTTCTCTCTGGGAGATACTGTGGCATTCCCCTGCTTTAACAAAAATAACTGCCCAATATTCAGGGACCTAGGAAGGGAATTTACCTGCGTGAGCTTATTAATCCCTCACAGCCACCCAACAGTTGCTTCATCATGGAGCAGAGTATAAACCCCTGGGGCCTCAGGAGTTGGCTGAGGTCATATAGTGAGGACCCAGGTCTGTGCAGTCTTCATGGGACATGCTGTGTGCAGTGGGTACTTACAGGTTAACTGGTAAATATAATTCTCACGAGCTGGGTGAACTAGGGGCAAACTTCCAGCCCTTCTCCATGACCACCTCAGGGAGCAGGGGAGCTAGCTGTCCTCAGTGGTCTCCACAGCCCACCCAAAGTCTGTCCCTCGCTCAGGGATGTGGCAGCCCCCAGCACACACCCTCTGCTCCCCCGTCCTTCCCGCCTCTGGTGTTTTCTAGCCTACCTTGCCGTGTGTGTCCCTCTGGAATCAAATCATGGGCAGATGCCGCTGCTGCTGGCCGTGGGCCCTGTTCTCTTCCCTGAGGTGGCGGCCTCTAACCTGGCAAGTGTTCTTGTGTCTCTCCAGTGCGAGGATGATGGGCAGACGTTCTTCAGCCTAGATGACGGGAACACCAAATTCTCTGACCTGATCCAGCTGGTTGACTTTTACCAGCTGAACAAAGGAGTCCTGCCTTGCAAACTCAAGCACCACTGCATCCGAGTGGCCTTATGACCGCAGATGTCCTCTCGGCTGAAGACTGGAGGAAGTGAACACTGGACTGAAGAAGCGGTCTGTGCATTGGTTAAGAACACACATTGATTCTGCACCTGGGGACCCAAAGCGAGATGGGTTCGTTCAGTTGCCAGCCAACCAAGATTGACTAGTTTGTTGGACTTAAACGACGATTTGCTGCTGTGAACCCAGCAGGGTCGCCTCCCTCTGCGTCGGCCAAATTGGGGAGGGCTTGGAAGATCCAGCGGAAATTTGAAAATAAACTGGAATGATCATCTTGGCTTGGGCCGCTTAGGAGCAAGAACCGGAGAGAAATGATTGGAAATGAACTCTTGCCCTGGAATAATCTTGACAATTAAAACTGATATGTTTACTTTTTTTGTATTGATCACTTTTTTGCACTCCTTCTTTGTTTTCAATATTGTATTCAGCCTATGGTAGGAGGGGGATGTGGCGTTTCAACTCATATAATACAGAAAGAGTTTCGAACGGGCAGACTTCAAACTGAGTATGGGTCCCCAAATGTTCCCAGAGGGTCCTCCGCACCCTCTGCCAACTACCACGGTGTGGATTCAGCTCCCAAATGACAAACCCAGCCCTTCCCAGTATACTTGAAAAGCTTTTCTGTTAAAATAAAAGGTGTCACTGTGGTAGGCATTTGGCATGTTTTGTGGACTCAGTCAAGCAACCACAGTCTGTTAATCATTTCTCTATGCTCAGATGTCAGATCCTCTTGTTATTAGCGTGTCTTGTTCTGCACAGTGCAGGAGACTTTATTCCTTTGGAAAATTCACTGTTCCACAAACAGCAGGCTGAATGGCCTCGCCTCTAGACTGACGTGGGCCAGCCTCCTTGAGACACACCTGGCACCCGTCATCGGCCAGCGGTGGATGCTGCATAATCCACCTGGGTACTTTCAGCCTTGCGTTTCCACGGCCTTCAGCCTGTTCTAGAACGATCACTGCCTTACCCCTGCTGCTGCAGTGGTGTGAGTCGTTTCACGGCTGATGTCCCTCGGGGGATTAAAGGATCTAAAGAGAGAATGGCACCTGGTTGGCTTCGTGCTGTGTCTCGTGGGTTTCCATGGTGATAAAGACAAGGAAACGCTGCAGAGGTCACAGGCACAGGCTGATATTTAAAGATCTTTGCTTGCAGCCCTCCGTCCTGCTGAGAACCCCCATAAGCCAGTGAACGCAGAGCCCCTAGAGGCTCCTCTGCTGGCTTAGGGTGCAGAGTACCTCACGGTGGTTGTGGACATGGAAGAGTTTTGTCAACACAACACTTCCTCCCTGCTCCGGGAGATGAGTCAGACGGTGGCTTGAGTTGTCACTTGGTCCCCTCCGCCCCTTGGGTGGCCCCCTTTGCCATGTCCCCTTAGCTTAGTGATCAGGTGTGAGAGTGGCCATTTCCTTACCTTTAATCCCTGCAAAGCAGAAAGGACTCCCTTGACAAGGAACAGACTACCGTGGTGAGCAGGACGATTTCCTTTTTCAAGACAACACCCGCCTGGCTTCTCTGAATCTGTGCTAGCCACGATATTGCCCCAAATCCGCTCCCACTGAAGTGCTCCCTAAGGAACAGCATTTCTCTGCTCGTCAGTCAACCCCCATAGCCTAGAGCAGTGTCACGAGCTTCAGTAAGGCCAATCAGCTGGAAGTCAGTGTACCATATAGTAACACTGTATTTCAGTTTACAGACCACACTCTAGCTGTTTTCCATGAAAGGTATACAAATAAAGAATTTTTTAGCAAAACATGTTTTTAACCACCAATGCTCAATTGCATTTTCTTCCTTTCGCAGCCAGTCAGTCTTTCGAACTATTGACAGTGAGATAATTCTCGTGTTCACACCTGGCGGCAGGCTTCACTATAGGGACGGACATTGCAGTTACACCGCGATTCCTTTCTCTTCACTGGCTCGAGGTAAACACTTTCCAAGGAAAAACAACTCTAGGATTTCTTTTTTCTGTGTACGTAGACCAGTCCCATCAGTGTATAATCTCTCTCTTTCACGCCTCTCTCCAATAGACAGCTTGTATTTGCAGTATTTCATATTTATAAATATGCGTTTATTTAAAAGGAGAACAAAAGCTTGACTCTGATTCACAGTTTTGTATGTAGCTGGTTTGACGTAGTCTTTTGTATTTTCCCTGCCGAAGTGAATTGTTGGAGAATGTAAACCGCCTCCGTGCGGCAGCAGACTTCCTAAGGCCCCAGCTCGCTAGCCTCGTGCTGGGCGGCTGGGAATTCCACCTGAGAACAAGTCCCGCAAACCGGGGACGGAAGGACATTTGACTTTTATTTTTGTATTTAATTGACATGAATGTAAAGGGGACAGCTCAGGGTTGTTTTGGAGCCTGTTGACTTTGTATCTCTGCCTGTGATTTTCTTTTCTAAATGAAACTCCATGTAGCAACCGGGATGAAGTTGAGAAGGAAAACGCCAAATGCTTTGGTTATTAGAGTTTAATAGGTAAGCTCTGTTACACTAGGTGTTAGAGTTCCAGAATGTTCTTTTGTTTGCTAAACCTTGAAGAAACATGTGCCTCAGCCTAGATGTTTTGTCTTCTCTTTTCTGCACTTAATACCTGACAGTGTGACCGATCTCTGCGCCTTTCCGGGGGCGGGCCAGCTGGCGGTAGATTTGTGATGTCACAGTGCAAACTGCAGCGACTGTAAATCGGCCTGGCGTGTATAAACGTTTTCAGGGAATGCAGAAGGTATTAATGAAGAGACAAAACCTTTATTCCATGTGCTTTGCTTCATTCTGTACATAGCTCTTTGGCTCGTGAACCTAATTGTAAACTTTCAGGTATTTTTGTACAAATAAGGGACTGATGTTCTGTTTCTTGTAATTAGAAATAAACATTAATACAGTGTTCTTCATTTTCTATTGCTGGTGATGTCTGTTTCTATATTTTAAAACACTGGCCAATCACGAGGTCAGGAGTTCAAGACCAGCCTGACTAACATGGCGAAACCCCATCTCTACTAAATATAAAAATTAGCCGGGCGTGGTGGTGTGCACCTATAATCCCAGCTACTCAGGAGGCTGAGATAGGATAATCACTTGAACTCGGGAGGCGTAGGTTGCAGTGAGCCAAGATTGCACCATTGCAGTCCAGCCTGGGCAATAGAGCAAGACTCCTATCAAAAAAACAGAAAACAAACAAAAAAAAACACTGGCCTGTCATCCATTGAAAACCTTTTGAAATGACTTAGAATATTAAGAACACACTTCTTACCACTAGCTAGAGACTACCACAAGGACTCCATAGCTGTTTGGGACGTGTCACACACAAGCTTGCCCAGCCCTGGTGAGACACCAGACTCTTGGCTGCTTAGTGCTCCAAGGTGGTGGCAAGACATTCTCAGCCGACCTCTCCTCCCCCATAAAAATCACAGACCTCAGAAGGTTTCAGAAACCGTCAGATACCCACACAGGCTTAAGAAAGACCTTAAGAAACTCATATTCACCCTTGAGCCCAATTGGTGTTTTTTCCACTGCAGCGCGACAATTAAAATGTCAAGAGCCTAGGTTTTCTAAGCAGGCAAACGACTGACAAAGTAAGAATAGATGCCCATGATTGTTGCTTCTCCGGCCCTCGCCTAGGAGGATCTTGGCTGACCTACTGACGTGACATTTGGGCCAGACTTGCCATCTCTCGCCGCCTCCCTGTCACACCCTGGTCAGCTGAAGGGCGTGTGCATGTTGTCGCCAGCTAGCCTGGTCTACCAGCAGGAGGGCCCCCGTGCTGTGTGGACTCTCCTGTCATTTGTTTTCAGAATCTGAATTCTCAGTTTCTGGAAGCCCACCCTCAGCTTCAACAGACAAGGAGAGCCCAGGGCAGGTGGGGACCCACCGGGCCAACCGCAGGTGTTGATCGTAACACCAAAGAAGCTTGTAGGCACAGCCACACAGAGCCAGCCGATGGCCTCCCAAGAGCACACCCGTGGTACAACACGAGAATGCATCTCACTGCCTCCAGCACATTCTTCGTCGGTTTTCACAGCATATTTTGAGTGATTAGTAAAATTATAAAAAGGGATTTTGTTTAATGATAAAAGCCTTAGCTTCTTAAGTGTAAAAAGGTAAAATATTCAACATCTTCCGATTGTAGAATGGTAAAGGCAGCATTGCCCCTTTTCATTTTGGAAGTTATACAACCTTAAGGGCAGGAAACAAAGATGAAAAATCTGTCTTTGACAAAATTGGGCTTCATCTGCCAGCCCCAGTGACCATCCACAAGATGGGCTGCTTGGGAGGCCTGCAAAGATCAAGCAAGGGCCACGTGACAGGGTGTCCATGGCTGCTGGCCTCAGCACAGCTAGCAAAGGGCACTTCAGGATGAGTAGTGCCCCTCGGGGAACTCGGGGTCCTCTGGAAACAAGGAGAAAGACACTGGGGTTGGTGGCAATTGGTGTCATTTTTTGTTTTTTAGGACATGGTGGGCGCTTCTGAGCTGTAGCTACAGCAAAGTCTCATTTGATTTCTGGAAATGTTTTGTGAATTGCAGCTAAATACATTTTTCGTTCTTTTTGATTTTTCTTTTTAGTTTGTTTCTTATTGAGGTAAAATATACATACATAATTTACCATCTTTACATTTTAAGTGTACAGTCCTTACAAATGTTTCCGCTTCCTCCCCTGCCCCACTCCACTTCCCAGCCTCTGGTAGCGTCTACTCTCTATCTTCTTGAGATCCACTTTTTTAGCTCCCACAGAGGAGTGAGAACATGCAAAGTTTGTCTTTCTGTGCTTGGTGTATTTCACTTCAAATGGTGTCTCCATTTCCGTCCATGTTGCTACATCTTTGCAAAAAAGATGGCAATTGTGTGTTTGCTCCCTTTTGTCAACCTCCCCTAGCATTTGCGTTTTCTCCGGCCCTGCAGCTCTCTTGGCGTTTGAATTTGAGTTGCTGTCTTGGTCCTGTCCTCCTCCGTATCCGTGATGGTGTTCCAGTAGGGTCTGTTCTCCATGCTGTTTCCATTCGCCCTTCCCTGCTAGGCTGGCTTCACTTTTCTCTGACGTTTCTCTTCAGAGCTCTGCCAGCTTGCTTTATCTAGTGCCTGAGCTCTTATAGCTCTGCTTTGACCTTTGGTGATGTGATTAAGAAAGACCTCAAGAAACTCACATGCTTTCTTGTTTTTTGTTTTGTTCTTTTAAGTTCACGACATTGTGTTTGGTTGCAATTTTAATCTACTCACGGCTATGTTTTTCTACAGAATGTTATTTGCTACCATTTTTTTTTTCTATTATTTTCTTTTGTCTTGGGGTATCTACACAGAAGATCAGTCCTGGTTCTTTAAAGAAGATGAGCTCTTCTTGGACTAGCCAATAGACAGGAAGTTTGGGTAGGGAAGTCCACAAGGGCTATGTTGGATGCTACCAGGACAAAAAAAAAAAGTAAACAAACCCTATGTCCAAAGCCTGAGTATGAGAGTTTCAAGAACTTTACAACATAAGCCATTAAGACTGCCAACCAACTCACTCCTCTCACTTCCTGTGGTCATACCACCTTCACGTCCAGCCCTTCCACCGCTTCCAGGTGAAACTCCGGAAATAACAGCTGGTAAATTTATAATAGAACCACATTTTCTCATTGGTCGTCACTGTATACTCATATGTAGGCACACAGATCCACTCTGCTATAACTGTATACTCACACCTGGGCACACGGATCCACTCTGCCATAGCTATATACTCACACCTGGGTACACAGGTCCACTCTGCTGTAGCTATATACTGACACGTGGGTACACAGGTCCACTCTGCTGTAGCTGTATACTCATAGGTAGACATAGAT